TGGTTAAAAATTGTTTTATTCTCTTTCGGTAGCTTTTAACTTATCATGGTCTAGGTCAATCACTACTGACGAAATAGGAGTATCCGCTAAATTCCGAACCATTCCATCTGCTGAGTCTGAACGAATCTGGCAAACCACCGCTAGAAAGACTCACCAGGCTTGTTTATCATTATTGGGGGAAAAAATACCTCACTATAAATGCTGTTGTCTATACGAACTCTAAAGCTATTGGCAGAGACCCGCTGTCTCACTTTCTATTAGACCTGTATGTGATAAACGGAACGCAACTCATCATTCAGGGCGACTGTGTTCGTCATCTAGACCTGTAATTGTGACCCCATCAATCATGCCTAACTTGATTGAACATATCTGATCGTGTTGTATCATACTTATTCGTACCGTGTTTGGATCCGGCCACACAAACACTACCAACCCAGTTCAGTTCAGTTGCACTATCGTGCCCCGGGTTCGGTTGCTATCTTTTGGCTGCCAACTTGGATGGACAGTGGGAGAAAGACAGGAAAGGTTGAAAGTAGGTTCGTAGAGAAAATTTAGAATTTCAGTGAAGTAATGTTGCAGAGAAATTGATAAGATGTTCGAACGTCACTGTTTACGACTTTCAGCTATATCAATGTATCTGTTACGATCATCCCGAGACCCCCAGCCAGTGGGCCTAACGGAACCTACGTGATCCAGTCCCCTGGTTAGGCTTTTCATGCCCTCGTGCCAGGTGTACCACCCTTGGCTTTTTCCACCCACTACTTGCCTCGGCGAACATCGCTCACCACGGCAACCTATTTTGTGACATGCGCAACACATGCTCCAACCAACCTATGGAGATCGACAATTTGGTCCTGTGGACCACCGCATACATCCATAGAACTCTGCACCTAACCTCGGCATTGCTCATCCAGTTGCCCTACCAGATTCTTGCAATGCTACGTAGACAGCGGTGTTCCAATACCGACAGCCTATCTTTATCCTGCTTCCTTGATGACCAAGTTTCTTCTCCATATAGCATAACTGACCGAACAGCCGCAGCGTACACTCTATCCTTTACAGAAAACCGAATGTTGCAACGGCGATACAGATTTCTCAGGCTGGCAAATACCAACCAAGCCTTCTGTATGCGAGTTGACACTTCATTCGTGATGCGTCCACCGGGTGAGATATAGCTGCCCGAATATCAAAACTTATCCCCTTGCTCTAATACTTCACTCGGGTAGAGTGAGGCTGGGTGCTGGACCGACTAAGTCTTGAAACAAAATTTTGCACCTTGAAGGTGCGTGAATCAGACTGGTTTTAGGTATACATGAGAATTTATGGGTCATAGTATAACCGCTCATCCACAGATCTATTTCCACTTTCCTTGATCTGAAAGCATCCTTCGGCTGATTCGAACGCTGCCTCACGTTGAAGAGGTTGCCACAATTTCGTTGTTAGTCTTTTGTACCTCGAATAACCAAAGCTGTGTTGTTTGGTTTCCGGTTTGTATTTACTATGATTGGCTATGATTCTGAAAACGGCTTCGTCCTCCAACGAGGATAATGGCATCAATATGCTCCCGAGGGACAGGTTGTTTTATTTCAAGCACGCGGGAAATCTTTTGCTGACGGGATGAATATTTAGGTAACCTCAAATCTTTTGTTGATCGTTTGGTTGTGAATGCAAATACGTTTGGCAATCATTGTTTAGCTCCATGAATGTGTGAAAAACACTAAAAAACAAAGTTTCGATCTTACTCTGACACTTTGCAACTAGAGCAGACCTGTGTTACCTGGTGGACGAATTTCGGACATAGTGTCATCAGGCATGCAGAACTCTTAATTGTCGTTTACTAACTCGAGACACCGTTTCGTATCCGGTTGTCCAAGATGAGTACAGAGTATGCAGCCTAAAACCGGCCGGTATCGCTATGTGGTGCTGCAGAAACAAAGTCCGAACGAGTGAACAAAAAACGCAAACTAGAGACATTTGAACGCAGCGATCTTCATGTGGTGATCCTGGTCCACGAGATGACGCATACCACGGAGCGACACGTTACAGTGTTCGGACAACTGTGATCAATCGAGCTTCCCGGACGACGTCAGCAAAGCGCGTGGGTGTCACAGGTTCTGGACTACAAACCATAGGCCGATTGTATCAACCAATCAGAAATCGTGGGGCCCAACAGGGAGCTGAACGACACCATAAATATCAGCACGCGTTTGACAGAGGTTTCCATGACCAATTAACTTGTTTTGCATATATTATTCAATCCCCCTGATTCCTTTTAATAAATGAACTGCCATTCCTGTGGCCTTTTCCTCGCGTCTCGGTTACTTGGGATACTGTTGTGCCAGTACCAGTGTGATTCAGTGCTTACGTGGTGTCCGTGATTGCTAATCAGTGATTTGTATTTCGTGCTCAGTGCGTACCACTATTACTACGATCATTATGCTAAACCGCATGCTTTGGGTTTGAGGAGACAGCTGAAAATAGATTATCAAGTTTAGCCCGAGAGTATTGCATTGTATTTGGGCAATAACGCTATTGCCTAACTTTCATGAATTACCGTAACTTAGGAGTACCTTCGGATAGACCGCCTAAACATGCGATATTTTACAATACAAGTAAAAGAAGGGAAACTGTCAACCATAGTCAAAGAATAAAGACCTGGTATTAAGTACAAGCTGATTTGATCATGTGCAGAGAGAGGAGGGGACGCATAAAGCACCCAGATTGATCGTCATGGGGACTAGCATATTCAGTTTTCCAAGTGGCTGGATAATACGATTCAATGTAGTAAACAGCGGAACTTTTGAATTTCCTTAAATATGTCTACTCGAAGAAGTGCCCCCAAATCATTATTTCCAATTGTGAATGAGTGCTCCTGTGTGTGTGTTTGTGAATATTGAGTATCATAATTAACCTTTTCTGCCCTCATTTTCTATCTGTTCGGATGTTTAACTGTCGACGGAAAATGCATTGCAGTTTAGTGGGGCTATCGCTTTTCTGATCCAACACAGCACCCAACTTACGTACTGACAAATACAGGGTGAATAGAACTGCTGCGTATCTTAAATAAGCGGTACAGAGTAGCAGCTAGCTGATCGAGCAGTACGTAGGGAAGACAGCTGATGATGTGACCGATAAAAAATATGAATATTAATATTCATACACAATGTAACATCGGATTAAATATGACAGTGATGAAGGATTGGACAGAATTGTGCGGCAGAGTCAGCCAGTCAGTCAGTAACATTGGCTTTAAAATATCCGTGATTGTATGACGGGGAAAATTGACATTTACCGGATATTCTGAAGCACCATAGAATATAAATGGAAGTTCCAAGTTTCACTATACGAGTTGTTCTGCACGAAAGAGAGCAAGGAGCTAGAATACAAGGATGGAGTGTGTGTGGCTGGTTCAATATACAATCAACCTATGGATATTCTTTCTAGCCTATGGCAGTGTGCAGTGTATGCGTCGACTAGTAACATGCTGACCATTTGTTCCAGCTTCATCTTGCGGTGTACTTCTGTTCTCCGTAAAGTAGATTGTAGATAATGCACACTGAAACTAACAGAAAACTTTGGAGTTGGGTGGACAAAGGTACACGTCGTATTTCGGTAGATGTGTTTCGTTTCGGCTGCGTAATATGTTCAGGCAAGTGCAGACCTCAGGCGTTGTTCAAACAAGTGAGTTATGTCATCACCCTTGTGCGGAAGAAAAACTTCCATCTCCGAACACAAACAGACAACTAACAGAACAATCGGTTCGTTTATGTTTGATCCGTTATGCTTATTGACGAACTCACCCAGATACCCGTACCACCGGCCTTATCTACCAGTTTCAGTGTGGATGTGATAATAATACATCAGCAGAACAGGAAAGGAAATGGATCGCCGGGCATATTTTTAAATGGGCTCAATTAGGGGTCGTTAAAGCTATTTGTATGAGGCAACATAGAGTTGGGAGTCTTAAACACAGGTCTCATGGGCGGTGGTAGTCAAGTGGTCAGGTCATCAATTTGTGACCCGTAAGTCTCGCGTTCGAATCGCTCCAACGCCGCTTGGTTTCCCTAAATCTGTATTTTCCCTGGTATCTCTTGTATGGCCGCAACCCACTTCTTGACTTGTACATTTGTATGTTTAATAAATTTAAAAGTGAAATAAATTTATTATTATATATCTCTGGTTTCGATAAGCTAAAGACCTTTGCCGTTCATATAACACTGTATCTACCAATAAAATACATTCCGAATCATCTACAGCGTCGGTATCGGTGTTTAAGTTTGCTGAGAAAATCAAAACCAATCAATGGAATCCCCGTTTTGTAAAAAAGGAGTTGTTTACTTTAGTAAACTTTCAAGACCCTAATAATCCCTTCGAACATATATGACTACTTTTAGTTTTTTCCACATAGTATTGTATGTAAACAACGCAATTTTTTTCCTTAAATACCTACTGGGATGCAGTATAATTGTCTTGAACATTAGTCATGCAGTGTTACGCTATTTGAGTCGCTTTTCTAGTATGGAGTATACTGGGAAATAAGACCGATGATAAATAAAACATCTTTCAGGAAGAGGGTCGTGACCATACAGAGGCTGCCTGGAAAAATACAGAAATAGGAAGGATAGACGGCATTACAGCGGTTCGAACCGGGGACTTACGAGTCACAGTATGGTGACCTAAACACATAACCACCACCGACCTTGGTGTAGCGGTGGAAGTAGCGGTTCATTCGAAATTTTCCTCCCTAAAAGGGGTTAACTTACAATGTATTGATTGAATAAAGTTTTTCATTCTCAGTGTACGCTGTCATTCTGAGATTTACTAGGTAGAATGACACCTAAGTGAGTACGACGCACAATTTCTTTCAAGACATCCGTTCCAAATTTGGATCTGATACCGTGACACCTAAGTGACCTTGATCAAACTTGTGATACACGTGCCCCTCAGACAGATCAATAAGCATTCAGTTTGTCACAAGACTAGATTTGTACCAGCTCAGAATGGCTGCCCAAATCCGCAAGCGTAATGCAGCAACATGTCACATGTGGAAACGTTTACACTCAGCTTATCACTGCCGTCCAGGTTATAAACAACCAAGCGACTTCGTGATCCGTCAAATTCCGGATCGTCTGATTCCCGGATTGCTTGAATTACAATACTATCAGCAAGAGATTCGCAGATTGCGAGCAATCCAAGTAAGTTTCATCTATCTGATCTAGTGGAAAATTTGCAATATCCTCAAATCAAGGAACATATCCATTTATTTAATCAGAACACAAAATGTGGGACAACATATGTGTTTTCGGGAATACATTCTCAAGCATGTACAATCACATCTTCCAAAATCCTATGCAGAAAAACCAAACAAACAGGAGGTTAGGTCATGTGTGTTTTAGTGAGCAGGCAAACACACCACAATGGTGCGTGCTCTCACTGCGTAATACTGTCCATGTGCAGTAAAAATTTTTAACTGTAATGGTTTGAGAATATACTCACTGAAAATATATGTTCACCTACACTCTGTCCGCAGCAGACCGAGGATTCTCTGTGGGATACAGAGTTCGTCCCACCAAACCATCTGCGGTTCCCGGCTAAATATTTACACACGGAAAGCATACCATTGACGAAAACAAACTGAATGAGGAGAGCAAAAGAGCAAAGTATTTGTGTCTCGATTTTTGTTGTTGTTTCGACCTCAACAATTCTGTAGGTTAATCTAATTTACCGTCGAAGCTCGAGGTCAACACTGGCATTTTGAACTTCGGTTTGTGATATGGCCTTTTATTGCTTGCAGTGGACTTTTACGGTCAACATGAATGGAACGGAATGAGGATACATAATTTGATGTGGAAATATATGATTGGACTGGGTTAATTTACAGATGATTTAGAGGTTATGAAAAATGAATCACAACGAGGTTATGGAAGTTACTGGACGATCCCATCTATATGTGCGCAATACTGAAAAATATCATCATCGTCGTTGTCATCATCATCATCATCCCATTCATCTGAGTCACCATCAACACCATCGTTCAGCCTAAATACTGTACGGTGAAATTCAGCTATCTCTAAGAAACTAGCAAAAAGCACAAATTGAGAATGGATGCGCAATGCGGTTGCATAGGGAACCTGTTTTGAGGGAATCCAAAAACGGTCAAGCTCTATGATCACCAGATTAGACACAGTCAAACACCTCTCTTCAAGCATTTCAATAGAATAGGATATGATAGAAGCACCACTGTCATCGGTCCGATGCCATATCTAGTGTCCAGTGTCTCCGATAAATCAGCCCAGCCCTGGAAGAGAAGAGACACAGTCACTCTGTACACTTATGATGTGGTCGCCATTGAGATCCACCTGACGTTTCATAGCAAAAAACAACTGTAAATGTGGTGCTGTACAGAAGACGACTGTTGGGCCTGAACAATTCGCGCCTTAAGCAACGAAGCCCTGATTATTATAATGCAATGTGACAATGAATTTTTCAGTAATACTTTGCGAGAAACGCGACGATTTCCCTCATAGTTAGTTGGCCACTCAATGAAACGCATAGAAAAACTACGGGAAATTCACTTGTCGAAAACTTTTGTGTATTTCTATTTGCAAGTTCAAGGTCATACACCCGCAAATAAGAATTAAGTAAACGGTGTCACATTATATAAAGAAGTAATAAATGTCAAAGATGGAAGGCGGTGAAGCGGCTCGAACCCGGCACTCTCAGGTTATAAATTGGTGACTTAACCAGTTGGCCACTACGTCTGGGGAGCCGAAGGCCCACGCTGAAGGCGTTTCAATTCTACGTGCGCTACGGGAGCCTTTGAAATGCGTGTGGTTTACACTGTAGTACTGTAACGTCTTTAGTCACGCAGCTATCTAGATAAGAGAAGCAATCAACTTCAGCGAACTATCGAACTTATCGCATCGCTTTGCAATTTGAAAGTGAAAGCCTATGCCGAGCGGAGCCCAAGAGCGTGTTGGCCTACGAAGTGTAGTTTGCGGGTCCTTAAATCGATCGAACGGACAGACCAAGTCATTGAAGTAACTCAGATCATGGAGTTTTCCTCCAGCCGATCCATCAATGCCCATATTTCGGTGTTTTGAGATAGTTTCTCAAGGACGAAAATCGATCACGAATGCTGAGATGGAGCATATTTGACGAATACATCTGGTCATGACAGGGCAGCTACTTAGTTAGGTGTAGACACTCACACGGTCAGAAGTATGCAAATAAAATGACTTTAGTAAGTTAGTAAACTTCTCAGGCACTACGTTTCTAAAGATGGAACCTCGCGAGCTATTTGAATTTCTGCTTTGAACTCTGCTGCTCCCATAGCCCCTAATGTACATCAGTCCCGCCAGATTTTCTCCCCTCACTTTGAAGACCCTCAGAAGAACCAAAGAACGGCCATTTAAAAATCGTGACAGACCTTTAGTCAGACAAATGTCAGTGCTAATCAAGAATGAGATCCAAAATCTTGACAAACTCTACACTGAAACCCTACTTGATGACCGTAATTGCAAGCAAATCAAGAGTGCTATGAAAAAAACTCTGTGAAACGAAAGTCAGACCACGCGGGCCCCAGCGCACAGCAGATGAACTCAACCGCATGTTTTCCACGTCAACTCAAACTGACGTATCGTATCCATATTTCTAATCAGTTGACCGTTATGAAGCTTCACAGTCAGTTCTAATCAGGTGCGAGCACAGCTAAAGTGCCTCAAAATATCAAAAGCTTCCGGTCCCGACGGACTATGTCCAATTGTCCTCAGGGAATGTGCGCAATATCTGCTGGAGCCACTTGCCGGTATTTTCAACCGCCACTTCGAGGAACAAAAAGCTGTCGACCACTGGAGACTTATACGCATCACACCAGTCCCCCAAAAAGCTGGCAAACCACGACCAATCGCCTGTACTTCTACTTTACTAAACATTTTCGAAAAAGTTATGCTTAGTAACATTATTCCCAATACTAGGCAGCTAGATGACAACCAATTCGCTGATCGCAAACAACGTTCTACCTTAGATGCTCTTGCGCATTTGGTAAACTCAGTTTTGCGATCCATAGACATGCACGGCAGGGCAGTTCGTGCGTGTTTCCCCGACTATAGTAATGCTTTTAACTGTTCTGTATGCTCGTGATCTTCCCACTAACCCAGGTGATCTTCTCATTAAGTATGCTGATGATGTCACGATAAGTTCCAAATTCCAAGGTGATTTACGCTGCTCGCATCTTTAAACCAATTTATCTGCCATAAAATTATGATCTTCGTCTTCCAAGTAATCTCTCAATGCCTCTGATTGTAGGGATATCAGCTTTTTTCTCGCCAAAGGAGAACAGCTACATTCTTCTGAAAGGAATTGTTCTGCACTCTATGTTGACAACCAGCCTGTTCTCCCAGTAAATTCTCCACAATACCTCGCTTTCATTATCTTCCAAGATCTCACCTGGACCTCCCGTTTAAATTCTACATTTGTGAAGATTCGACGATTGTGTTTCTTTATTAGCCGCTGGCGTTCTTTAAAGGTTCCACTGTATTTACTCACCCGATTTGTATAGTCTTGCGTTGGTAATCATCTTCTCCACTGCTCCGTAGTTTTATTCGCCGGTCTTAGAGCTAAAGATTACACAATTCTACGCCGGTCTATTAAAATTATTTCTTGCAGAAACGGTATTCCTTATTTGCACTTGCTTAACTTAACTGATAAGCATTTTACCTCTTGCGATAGCTTTTGTAACAATATTCTATCAGACACCACTCATCCATTACACACAGAACTTAAACAATGCATATCCACTTCTGTAACAAGATGTCGTTATAAACTGGTGTATGCTCGTACCACTGCCTATCGTTTGTCCGGCATCCCCTATCTTTCGAGATTTCTGGCTCAACAAGCATCCGTTAGAGAAGGCGTTTTGAATTTCCCACGCAACTGCTATTCATTTTCAAACTTTTAATCCACATTCCTTTGAATTTATGATGCTGTTTTTCACTTTTTATTTATGACTGTATGTGATAATAAATGTTCCTGAAGTGCAAGAAGCTGAGAATCCATCCATTAGGATGATTAAAGCGATTTTCGATTTGACTTAACTTGAATGGAACCTGGCTGCTGACTGAGCCTAAAGAACGTTTCGGATCAAGAAACCTTAATATCGTTGTTTGATGCGATGCGTGACGCAACTCGAGGGCACGACGCGACTAAAACTATTCAACACCAGTACTAAATCGTGTGAAGACTATCGGATCAGCTGTCCGGTGGTCGGTATACCTGTGTTTTACCTGTGAGTTCCCGGTTTCGATCCCTAACGAGGTCGATGATTTTACATGTGTCACATAGGTCCCGTTTGGCTCCCTGGATGGAGACCTCGGGATGACCGTAACCAATGGTTAGAGACACTAAGCAATATAGCTGAATTTCGTAAACAGTGGCGTTCGTGCATCCTTTCAATTTCTTTGAAACATTAGTCCACTGAAATTCCCCAATCAACTCGACTTTCAACTCGTTTGTCTTTCTTCTCGGACTACGCGGATATCGTTCTCTCCAATGTTCGTGGTCTGTTTAGCAAGAGAGATGAAATCGAAACCTTTGTTCAATCGCACAAGCCGGCAATTGTCGCTCTCTCAGAAACCTGGCTGGTGGGCGACATTGCTGAATCTGAAGTGTCCATACCAGGTTATGTCCTGTTTCGGGCGGATCGGAACTCAATACGGAGGGGAGGTGGAGTAATGGTATACATTCGTGAGGAGCTGCCATCACATCTTC